TTATAAAAACATACCCAGGTGACTTGTAAATGCATTAAAGTTTGAGAAGTGCTACTCTACTCTCAATTAATAGAAATAAAACCATGGAATTAGACCAACTGCAGGAATTATCATTTTGTCACTGTAAAGTGGGTAAGTTTCAATTTTAACTGCATCTTAAATCATTTAAGGAAGTTGAAACAAATGTTATTGTTACATCTTGTTCTCCCCAGAGAGATTGAGAGAGTCTGACTTTTCCACTCTTAATCAATCATGGACATCACTTTTTAGAACATCCCAGATGTGTAGCAGGTGCCTGGAACCATTGTCCCAAAGACATTTCCCAGTGGGACTTGTGTTCTCTAATTAATGGAGGCAAATTCCGGAGTAACCTTAAAAATCAGCCAAAATAGACAAAAAAATTATCTGAGTAATGTTAGAGTAGAACATGTATAAAATTCCCAGAGAATTTGGGGGAAAACAGTGAGTGACTTACTTGAAAACAAGTAAGTTCAGGGATTTGGTGGTAAGATGTGGACTCACTGGCAAATACTACTAGCCTTCCCTTGGTAGTCTTCCAGATGGGGATTGCTCAGTAGATGAGACATCTCCATGGTTAAATGATWAGCAGTTTGAAGACAAGGATTTTAACCTTTTCATCCCTGTAATTCTGGTGTGCTAATGGATAGACAAAGGGATCTCATTGGTAATTAATGTGCAGGGGATATTGGGCTAGAATTTAAGAGGCGGGATTCTAGAGCAAGCTTTAGTTGAACACACTTAGGGATGAAAGGCTTGTAGGTTTTTGAAGCCGTTCATTGAATTAAARTCTCTCTTCTTTTCTACAGTGAGTGTCTACATATAAAGAGAGGAGGGACAGGTTTTCACCCATGCAAAACCTCTCCCAGGAGAAACAAGGGCATTGATTAAGGGCAAAAAATCCCTTAAAGAGCCAACAGCTGAAGACCTCATCAATAGTTAGTGGTTTTGCCTTAACACCTACACTGCAGGGATATGGAAGCAGTGGGTCATGCTGCCGGGCAGGGCAGTGCCTCTGAAGAGCTGGAAATAACCTACAAGGAGATACCAGGCTTTAGTCTGTTGACACTTGAAGATCTCTCAAGCCTGACCCTGCTGGGTATGTTTTTGCTTGGGAAAAAWWTTTTTTTTTTTATTTCCAAAAGTACCCCCATTTGAAAATGCCTTTTAAACAGAGCTTCTTTTTCCTTTCCGAATTCTTGATAGAGTGATGGAACTGAAAGGGAGTTTCTCAAAAAGGTTTCATTGGTCAACCTTTTCCTTTTACGGGGAGAAATTTGTCAAAAGACATGTCTTTCACATGTCTTCTCTTGGGTCCTCCAACAATGTCTCTGGGAGGCGCCTTACTCCACTTTCTATTTCCTACAAAATTTGCTTTCCTCCTAATCCTATTCCCTGCTGATCTCAGGTGACCACTCCTATTTTGTAAAGGAATTCTCTGTTTATTTGTAAGGTTTCTACTCATGCTTGGGCATGAGGGAGCAGGAAATTAACTTGAATGGCCAGTGTACTGAGGGCTAGCCTGCTTTAATGGTGCCTGTTGCTATCATGGGAATGGCTTCCACAAGAGATTGCTCAGAAGTATCCAGAATACCCAATTTCTAGCCAGAGGGAAAAGAAACAATTGAAAAATTTTCATGTTTGAGACCAGTGGAATGGATTGGTAGAACGTACTAGCTATTCTTCATAAGCAACTCTCTGGACACGCCAGGGGAGTCAATTGTTTTGCATAGAATTGTAAAGTGAATTCTTTTTGATACTCAGAGCTAAAATAGAGCATATGCATAGGTGATAAGTCAAACTGCCTGTTTAAGACACACTGTTTTAAAGAAAGTTACTGGCTATTTTTATGAGTTAGTTCCAAAATGCTTAGCAAAAGCCTACCTCTCTAAGATCTATCTTTTGAAGATGAACAAAGTAACAGTCACAATAATACTTTGGGATCCAGAGAAATGGAAGGAYTAAATGTGAAGGCTTAAACATCTTGTGTTTTAATGACCAAGTCGAAGGTAGGAAATTCTAGCGTGGGCAGCAGTCTTTACAAGAAAGAGAATCAGACTAATATATCACCTTGATGGATTCCCGCACTCTTTTTTTTTTGTCTAGGGGATCAAGATTTGATCACAGAATTCCTAGAATGAAAAAAAGATGATCAAGGGACATATAAGCCCTCAGAATTTCCACAATTCTGAGAAAGGTAGCTTCAATAACGTGCTGTGTTGACAACATCAGGAGAATTCTCTTTTTAACCACATCCCAGGACCCAGTAATATAGAGATTAAAAACACCTAAGTTGACTAATACATCCCCTGTACCTCATCACAATTTTAAATGGTGGCTTTGGAAATTTTCAGAATGAAAATCTGCCTTATGAATCAGCTAGAAATTGCATCTGTTGACAGACTGATTTCGTTAGAGAACTCTGACTCCTGGGGAATAAAAAGACTTCCTTATCCTAAGACCAAGTTCCTCTGGGAGGAAAAGTTTGAGATGAGATTCTTTCTTTCTCTGGAGTGGTTCCTGTGCTGTTTCTTGATTCCAAAAATCTCAATTCATTTAATTCTCTTATCACTGGGTTCTCATTGGCCTCTTGGTTGGACTATTTTGAAGAGACCTGTGACCCTTCTCCCTGTACCTGATCTTCCTCCAATCTATGCCAGAGTCACTTCTGACCCTGTTTTCAGTGAACCAAAAGAGCAYAAGCCGGGAGGCTGGGTTTGAGCCCTGGCCCTCTCATGGCCTGTGTGATACTGAGTTTTGAGTTCTTCTTCATCTATGGGTTCATGATATCCACAATGCAAAGTAGTAGTTATAAGGATTACAAATAAGATGCATATGTCTGGCATGAAGAAGTCACTCTCTAAGTGATAATTTCTTTTCTAAAAATTTTACTTACCAAGTGAAATTCAAAGGCTTTCACGTGTTCTCCAAGGCTTTGGATCACCCCTTTGGCCCTATCCTACTTTTTCAGTCTTCATTCCCAGCATCCCAGCATCCCCACCCAATTCAGGGAACATGGTGGACCCCTTGCTGTTCCCTAGTGCTCTGCTGTGTCTTTGCTCACTTGTCCTTTCCATATGGAATCTGTTACCGAAGTTCACCAGTTCCTCAGGGTCCTGTTGGCACTCCACTTTCATGAAGTCCTACTTCCGGCCCACACTCCCTTGAGGCTCACCACTGCCCTACGTGGACTGTTGCCASTCTTGGCCTTTCTCCTCCCGACAAGGTTTATCAGGGCCATGTCACGTTCACTACATGAGTAAAATTTCTGCCTGCRGTACTGGAAAGGGCAGAAGAGGCGTTAGGTAGACTAATGGAGAATCGAGCGAACAAAAAAGTCAGCATGATACTCTGCCACCAAGACCATTCTGATCCCCAGCTAAACACCARGGACTGGTAATGACACAAGTTTACTTGAAATGTGTTTCCCAGAGGCAGGGCGCAATTGACTGTGAAGATTTTGTTTTTCAGGGTGTGATTGACCTGGCAAGGACCCTTTTGAGGGAYGAACCACAAAAGGGTTAAAATCATAACCCTTTAATTCCAAAGTGGGGAAATTCCTACCCTGGTCAGTATGTTCCCAACACAACATAATCACTTCCCCAAAGCAAGCAAACACACTCCTTGTATGTAGCATCATTTTTCTTTTCGTAACACATCTTCTGGCAATCATTTAGGATTCTATTTCTAGAAGTTTAGGACACAAAATTATATACTTTCAAAATATATGTATACTTTCTTATTTATCTTTCTGAGTAGCAAGGGAAAATGTTATCAGAAATTTCACATTCAATTAGAAAGGGTGGTTTGAGCAATAAGTTGGTGGATTTTTACTTCTCTAAAAAACTGAAAAAAAACTAGGATGATGAAGTTGAAAATTTTCATATATATATATATATATATATATATATATATGCAGACATATATACATATATAGGAAATATATGTATATATAGGAAAAAGTAATGTATGTTTATATTTTCTAAAATTTCTACAAAATTTCACTTAAAAGAAGCTTCCTAGGTATTATTTCCTGAGGCAGTAAAAGCAAAGAAGCTAAAATATTTTGAGTTCTTAAATTATTCCGGTGTTTCATATATGAGTTACTGGTGTCTCAGGCAAATTAATCTGGATAAAGAGAGGTATAATAGCTTTTTTTCTTTGCTAGGGTCAGGGGTATTAGGGATTGAACTCAGGGGCACTTGACCCCTGAGCCACAACCCCAGCCCTATTTTGTATTTTATTTAGAGACAGGGTCTCACTGAGTTACTTAGCACCTTGCTTTTGCTGAGGCTGGCTTTGAATTCAACATCCTCCTGCCTCAGTCTCATGAGCTGCTATTATTACACGATGTGCCACCAAGCCTGGCTCTAATAGTTTTGTTTTTTTTTTTTTTTTTTGGTTACCAGGGATTGAACTCAGGGCACTCAACCACTGAGCCACATCCCTAGTCCTTTTCTGTCTAACAGTTTTTTTTTTTTTTAGTTGTAGATGGACACATATCTTTATTTTATCTATCTATTTTTTTTTAATGTGGTGCTGAGGGTTGAACCCAGTGCCTCAGACATGTGAGGCACGTAACCTACCACTGAGCCAAAACCCAGCCCATTGCTTTTTAATATTATATTATAGTTGGGGTGGGAGTTACAGTGGGAAACTAAATTCATTGGAGAATAAAGAAAAATGTTCTGAGGAATCTGCTCATCAGTATCCTGTTAACATCCAAATATCATATCATTATTCTTCCCAGAACTGTCAAGAACTGTGAATGATTAGAGTCTCTTAGCATCCAAGCTTGCTTTATAAACCAGGGACCACCGAGGCGTAAAATGAGGTCCCCGTGGGTTGTAGACAAGAGGTAGGAAGCAAGGTTCCCTCCCTTCTTAGAACTTTCTACTTAGTGTCCCCTCTGGCTCAGTGGCTGGGTAGAGGTGACATTTACTAGCCTTTTCAAGATGCCAAGGGCAACCATGGCCTCTTACCTGTCATGCTGCCAGGTACCATGATGAGTGTGAATAATCCCCACATCAGCAAGCTTGGTTCCATCTTCCTGGCACTTGGGACCAACTCCTGGCACTTGGGACAGTAAAGAGGAAGCGATTCTCTCCAGTGGGTCGGGTTGCCTGTCAGCAGCTTTCTCACATGGTGCTGGGAGGGTGCCTGAGCAAAGACTCATTCCTCTCGACCTGTCATCTTTGCTGGTCCAGCCAGTCTCTATGACAGCCAGGAGTTGCTCTCTTTAAGTATCAGACTGGTGTGTTCAGCCAGGAAATTGTGCTACCACTCTGTTCTCTGATCTCAAATATAGAAAGTGGCTTTTTTTTTTTTTTTTTTTGATGACAACAGAGTTTGTGGTAATTTTCAAACCAGGGTTTTTTTCAAGTTCAATTGCTGGGAGGTGTGGGCTGAGGTTGGTGAGAAGGATCAGGCTTCATTTATGAATCTTTCTTCAGTTTCACCTATAAAAGGAAAGGGAGATTCCCCTGCTGTTAAAGGACGGGTGAGCAAGCACTTCTTGGCAGTGGTCTCATCTACTGTTTTGAAAACTAAGCCCCCCCCCAGCCCCAGCTTTGCAGGCAGGGGCCCCAGGAGATGGAGGGGCAATCACAGGAGAGCAGGGAAAGGCAGCCTTCACCATAGACGGGCATTTCCTAAAGTAGTCCAACCCTGAGTCTCTTTCAAAAGTCTATCAGGCATTGGGGCTGGATCTCCAATATTCAGATCATGGAAAAGTAAGCAGTGGACTGACTAATACTCAGAATTCACGAATAACCTCCTATGACATATAATGGGTACCAGCCATAATCATTTCAACGTGGTGTCCAGGGTTCTTCAAAGTACGTTGTGGTTTTATAAGATATTTTGTCTTCAGATTTGTCTTTCTCTTAAAGGATCCTACTAGAAGTGATTTTAGGTTCTAAACTTTGAATTTTTTTTTTTGGTAAAATTTGATCTTGTTTATTTATCAGAGCTCTGTTGTAGTTTTCATGATATGGTTGACTGTTTTGTGACCTGGAAATCTGTTCCCCTTGCCTGTCATCTATTTACAGTAAAATATAATTTCTAGAGTATTAGAGAGCCAGGAAAGAAGGCATTGATAAAAGGAAGACCACCTGGGAAACAAAGGAATTCATGGTTGCAAGAGGGATTATCTCTGCCCATAACACTCCCWCAGAGACCAGACCGGGCATGGGAAATATATTGGCCAAATTATATTATATTGTGTGCATGTACAAATATGTAACAGCAAATTCCATCATKATGTACAACTATAATGCACCAAAAAATATAAAAAGATAAAAATAAAAAGAGACTTGGCAGTCAGAAAATGAACTGAGTGGTTTCCAAGGTAAGTATCATAGTTTACAAGTTTAAAAAAGTGAACTGTTTTCTTTCTGGGAATGGGGTGCCTATAAAAATGTGACAATATTCTCTTTTTAAAAGATTCCATTGGCTGGGATTGTGGCTCAGTGGCAGAGTGCTTGCCTCGCATGTATGAAGTACCGGGTTCAATCCTCAGCACCACATAGAAATGAATAAATAGATAGATGAAAATATTGTGTCCATCTACAACTAAAAAATTAAAAAATAATAAGAAAAGATTCTAGACCAAGCATAATTTCACTACTAGGAGTATTTGCCACTGTGCAGGTGAATGKTTGGGCTATAATTCCTATTATCTCCAGGGTCTGTCCCAGTTATTAAGATAAGAATTTTTGCTAGCAATAACGACTATCATGTAATTTTGAAAAAAATTACTAAAAATTGAAAAAAATAACACAATTAACTTTCCACCTAGACTGTTTGAAAGTAGTTGCCAATATGTTGTTCCATCACTCCTAAATACTTCAACATGGGTTCCTACAAACAAGGATATTCTCCAGAATCGAGACAACACAACCATCAAAATCAGGAAATAGCACTGATGTGCTACGATGTCACTCAGTTCTTATAATTCGATTTCTCTAGTGTTTCAGTCATGTCCTTTGTAGCAAAAAGATTCAGTTCTGAATCACCAATTACATATAGCTGGCATGCGTCTTTAACAATTTCTTTGTGTTTTCTTGACTCTTATGACCCTGACATTTTTAAGAATCATAGGCAAATTATTTTGTAGGGTATCCCAAAATTTGTATTAGCTCCTTGTTTCTTCCTCACTGGATTCAGGTTTAGCGTCTTTGTCAGGGATAAACTAAATCCATGCTTGCTCTTCTCCTTGCATCCTTTTATCTCATCACCCATGATGTTCACTTTGACCACTTGATTATTTGGTGTGTTCTGGGTTTAAAATTACTCTTTTCTCCTGTGTAATAAACAAGCATTTTGTGAAATGATGTAAATATCCCATTATATTCAGACTTTCACTTTGTTCATATTTATTTATATCCATATGGATTCATGCTCTTCTATTTCATCCGGTTATACTCAATTACTCTCACTTAGTTTAATGCTCAATTTATCTCTTATTTGTCCTTTGGGAGTCAATTCAAGCTGATTTCTCTTTCCTTTTGACATGTCCCTGTTATTCTTTGAGTGCTTCCTTGCTTTGGGTGCATGGAAAGATTTTTCAGGTCCATTTTGTATGTTCTCTGTCCCAGCCCTGGGAGTCAGCCATTTTTTTTTTTTTTCCAAAATGTCCTGGTACCTTTCAAAGAACTCTTTTTGGAAACCAAGCTCTGGGCATTGGATGTGTTCATTACTATAGGGGCAGCAACCACTCCTGGACTCTCCCAGTGGACYGAGCTGGGAATTTGTGTATGTCCAAACATGCACACAGACATTCACCTTTATGTCTATATTTACTTCTGTATTTATCTATAGATGCTGAAACCCATGAATTCACACTGATACTTCCCAACACCCCCATTCCAATCTGACACCACAGGGTTGGATTTTTCAGTTTCTCCTTTTCTCCATGTATAACTCTCTTCCTTGACAGTTGGCTTCCACTCTCCCTGGCATTTACTGCTATGCTCAATCCCTTTGTCTTCCCAATCTCATCTCTACACCAGCTCCTCTCCCACATGGGTTTCCTCTTATCCCTTCTCAGGTTTTGACTCCCTATGTTTGGTCAACTCCCAGACTCTGATGGAATAGCCTTCTCACCTGGTCAGGGCCTGATGCCCCTGGCCAGGCTAGCCACCTGCCCCCACGTGGATGTCCTTCTGATCCTGTTTGGGTGCTGAATCCTTGTGTTGGGATGCCCCTGTTGAAAATGACCTCCTCAGCTGGTTTGAGCTCTGACACCCTTACCTGCCGGGTCTTATGTATTTATCCTCCTCACCCCATTGGCTGTGCTAGCCCCTGTCTCTGTGGACTTCCTCTCACCTCCTCAGGTTCTGATGAGCCCAGGAGGCTACTCCTTGTGGGGTACTCTCTTCACTCTGCATGGAGCCTGGCTGCACACTCTAGACCGTCTCCCCATGCAGACCCCTCCCTCCTACCCCTCTTCAGGCTGTTGACACCCTACTCTGAGTTACATCCACCAGAATATCACAGATGTCCCCTGGCTGCATTCTGCTTGAAGTTTTAGGACTGAATTGTTCAGAAAAGGGGAGAGAAGGAAAGGCTAGTGACGACCATTCAGGAAGAATGCAGTGAATTGAAAAATGAGGCCAAAAATTAAAATCCAGACAGGCTCAGAGAATCAGCACACATGTTCATTGTAATGAAGAAGTCAACCAACCTGTAAGTATGGCCCAACAGCTTCTCATGTGTTTTAAATACTTTTTTTTTTTAACTCTAGTAGGTTTTAGGGATGAGTATTTCTTATTGGAAAGTAATGATCCACTTTAATACCTTTACTTTTTWAAAAAAAATCAGTTTCTTTTTCTTCTATTAAGTAAAATTAAATTCAATGCTTTTTATTTTAAAATGTTTTTGAGGATCAAAGAAATATGAATCAGCACTTGCAAGTTATACTTTAATTAAATCACAAAAATTAACTTCACATATTAATTCATTGCTATATAAAATAATCAAGATGAAACACAGTCTTTTTGCTTTTCGTCAGAATCTTCGTAAATCCTTCCTCATAATAAATATTCAAGTTACTTTCTTAATAACCAAGTAATAAAATATTAGCTAACTAGATTAAATATCTTTAATTTTACATTTTTTATTTAAAAATGACATACAAACCATTAAAATGAAAATAGTGATTTTCAGGGTATTTTGAATCATATAATTAATTTTTGTGGGTAATTTTTGCTGAGTTAGAACCTCAAATCAGAAGCCACAGCAGACAATCTTGACTTCCTATCCTACAAGGGTACATAGAGGAAAAAAGAAAAACACAAAATTTGCATACTGCTCAAGAAATTATCAGTGGATTTACTTTGAAATACCCATTTCTCAATTTTTAAAAAATTACACATTGAATTTTTCAATTTTCATTTTGAAGTAACAGGACTTGTTGCTTGATAAAGAGAGTCCCAGTTGGAAAACCATGTGGAATTTCTTTAGCCACAGAGCCAAGTCAACTATGATGGGATGATATAAAGGTCGGGTGTTCATTAAACAGYAATTTCACAAGCAGATGATGAAATTGAAAGTCAAGTTACACAATATGGACCAGAGTCCAAAAAACAGACAACCACAATACATTATTTAGTGTGATGTAGGCTGCCAGCAGTCCAGCAAAATTGTTCTTTCTCTCTTGTTGAACACATGAACAGGATTCACTTYCTGGCGTCCCACAGCTAAGTGGGTTCTTGCAATGGAATTCTTGCCAAGAAACATTAGTGGAAGTGGTGTTTAGCACATCTGTGTGACTGACTGCAACAACTATGATCAGAGTGATGTGGAAAGTGGAAGCATGTGCTCTGCTTGATTCCTGCATGCCTTGGAGCACAGCAACCTTTGCCTAGGAACATACTTCCTGTTATGTGAAAAAACTCTGAACTTGTTTTGCACATTAAGCCAATTGTTGTTGGGTCTTCTGTAATAATATGTCAACCCCCCCTGACTAATACAGTTGGTCTGAAAGGATATACTGAACTTCATGTGTTCTTGCATCAGTGATGTCCTGGTGGAATAATAGCAGGCATGCTTTGGGATAGCTTGAT